TCTGTCTCCCGGGTTCAAGCAATTCTCCTGCCTCAGCCTCCCAAGTAACTGGGACTACAGGTGCACACCACCACACCAATTTTTTTTGTATTTTTAGTAGAGACACGGTTTCACCATGTTGACCAGGCTGTTCTCAAACTCCTGACCTCAGGTGATCTGCCCACCTCGACCTCCCAAAGTGTTGGGATTACAGGCGTGAGCCACTGTGCCTGTCACTGGCCTTGGTTTGTTTGTTTGTTTATTTATTTATTTATTTGAGATGGAGTCTTGCTCTATTGCCAAGGCTGGAGTGCAGTGGCACAATCTCAGCTCACTGCAACCTCCACCTCCTGGGTTCAAGTGATTCTTCTGCCTCAGCCTTCCGAGTAGCTGGGACTACAGGTGTGTGCCACCACACCCAGCTATCTTTGGTATTTTAGTAGAGACGGGGTTCACCACGTTGGCCAGGCTGGTCTTGAACTGAGATTACTGGGGTGAGCCACCGTGCCCAGCCTGTTTCAGTATTTTAAATGTGCTTATATGGCCAGACACGGTGGCTCACGCCTGTAATCCCAGGTACTCAGGAGGCTGAGGCAGTTGGATTGTTTGAGCCCGGGAGCTGTCATCATGCCACTGCACGCCATCCAGGCAAGAGAGCGGGAGCATGGCTCTAAAAATAAATTAAAATCTGGCTGGGCGCAGTGGCTCACACCTGTAATCTCGAGGCAGGTGTATCACAAGGTCAGGAGTTCCAGACCAGCCTGGCAAATATGGTGAAACCCCGTCACTACTAAAAACAAAAAATTAGCCGGGCATGGTGGCGGGCGCCTGTAGTCCCAGCTACTCGGGAGGCTGAGGCAGGAGAATTGCTTCAACCTGGGAGGCAGAGGTTGCAGTGAGCCGAGATTGTGCCACTGCACTCCAGCCTGGGCGACAGGAGACTCGTCTCCACACACACAAAAATAAAAAATGAAAAAATGAAACATGCAAAACTGGCAAAACTCTGTCACATGCATCAGTGTATGTAATGTATACATATAGGTTGAGGAGCAGTAATAAAACTGACATCCATGTGCCTACTTGCCAGCTGAAATTACCTAACAAGCCTTTCGCAGCCCCCTCTCATGCTTCACTGTGTTAATCATACAGTTGCTTTTCTTCAGAGCTTTGCCATGTGTGCCTGTGCAACAGATAATGTCAGTTGGCTGTCTTTGAACTTTAAATAGAATCAGGCTGAATGTATGCTCTGTAATGTTTTTCTGCTTATTTCCAAGATTTCCTTATGCCTATATATGTAGCAGTTATTAATTTTAACTGCTGTATAGTACTACACTTTATAATCCACAGTTCTACTCTTGAGCATAAATGGGTTGTTTGCAGTTTTTGACTTTTTTTTTTTTTTTTTTTTTGAGACGGAGTCTCCCTCTGTCGCCCAGGCTGGAGTGCAGTGGTGCGATCTCGGCTTGCTGCAAGCTCCACCTCCCGGGTTCATGCCATTCTCTGGCTTCATCCTCCTGAGTAGTTGGGACTACAGGTGCCCGCCACCACGCCTGGCCAAATTTTTGTATTTTTCATAGAGACAGGGTTTCACCGTGTTAGCCAGGATGGTCTCAGTCTCCTGACCTTGTGATCCACTTAGGCTCCCTAAGTGCTGGGATTACAGGCGTGAGCCACCACACCTGGCCCGTTTTTGACTTTTACAAACAATGCTGCTGTGCATATTCTTGCCTGTGAGCTTCTGAGGTAATGTGCCTGGGTAGAACTGCTGGGTTGTAAGGTACGTGCATGTTCAGCTCATCTAGTTAATGTCAAACTATTTCCAAGGTGGCTTGTACTAATTTCTCTTCCACCAGCAGGGTGGGACATCCTACTTCTCCACTTCCTTGCCAGCATCTTCTTGACAGTGTTTTTGCATCCTAATACATCTGCCACCTGAGTCTTTGTAAGAACAGCCAACACTGAATGTTCATTCACATGGTGCCAGACCCTGTACTGAGGGCTCTGTGTGTGATTTGATTTCACCCTCACAAGACCCCCATCTATTATGAACATGTTATTGATGACCAAGAGAGCAAGTCTTTGTCCTGCTTCTGCCCAAGACACTTCCCTTCTGCCGGGGCCCCATGGCCATGTTGCCTATCTTCGTTTCCCAACCTGGGTGGGGCTGAGTCCCAGCAGGGGCTCAGCGCCACCCCTGGACCCCTTTCTCCTCAGGCTCTTACTCCCTGTCAGTCCGCCTCAGCCGCCCTGCATCCTGGGACCGAATCAGACACTACAGGATCCAGCGCCTTGACAATGGCTGGCTGTACATCTCACCGCCCTCACCTTCCCCTCACTCCAGGCCCTGGTGGACCATTACTCTGGTATGGCCTTTCCCTGCCCCCAGGAGTAGGCTGGGAGAGTCTGCAGGGAGGAGCAGGCAGTGGTGTCCTCGGATATTTTACCTGCTATGGAGTATTCAGACAGACAGAAGAGAGGCCTCCCCTATTTTCACACCAGTCCCCATGCCAAGAAATGCAGGCTGGGAGCCTTGTCTTCACCTCGTGCCCTAGCAGAAAAGCCACATACCTCCGGTGTAGGCTCCAGTCAGTACCTTGCCTACCACTCTGGTTCTGATTCAAAGCCCCTGGCAGCAGGTGGAGTTCTCTCCACAGGAACCGGACCCAGAGCTGCTGCTGTGTGGGATTCAATCCTGACTCTCCTTAGTACTTCCTGATGCCAGTCCTTCAACAGACACTGGAAGATGCAGTCACTGGGCACAGCCTCAGGGCGCAGAGAGGGAAGAACACTCTCGTGAAAACTCAGGGGTTTTCTGCAGGTCACTCCATGCGGGAGTAGTTAGTAGAAGTAGACTGAGCATTCCTTAGCTTTCTTCTTCCCAAAGAAATTTCCTAACCAGAAACTTCAGCTCAAGAGGTCCATGAACTCACCCGAAATCATACAGTGATTGTCTCCCAAAAGTTAGCCCAGGAAGACCTTTGACTCCATCTGTCTCCATGAAACCAACAGCTTGGGGCTCATGTCCTGTCACTCTTTTGTAACCATGCCCCCTCCTGCCAAGTGTGGAGGACTGTCAGGATGAGGGCTGTTGGGGAGAAGTAGGGTGGAGTCAGCCATGTCAGGGATGGAGGTCTCTTCCTCAGAGCTGGCGGATGACATCTGCTGCCTCCTCAAGGAGCCCTGTGTCCTGCAGAGGGCTGGCCCGCTCCCTAGCAAGGATACACCCCTACCTGTGACTGTACAGAGGACACCACTCAACTGGAAAGAGCTGGACAGGTAAAGTCGGGGACTCCTGGAAACATGAAAGCAGGACCAAGAGTTAGAAGGACCCACCCCGGGAACCACAACCCGAATGTACCTGTCACACTCAGGGACACCTGGCAGCTGGAGCCAGCGCACACTGACTCAACTCCTGGAGCACAGCCCAGGCTCGGCAGGTGGGGCTGGGGAAGCTGATCTGATACGGAACAGGGAGCCCCATGAGGTTCTCATCAGGAGTGAGGGGTTTTGAGAACAGTGCATTTTTGTGTGGAGTGAGTGCAGGGAGAAGGAATAGGCTCCTTGACCCAATTCTCTTCCTTTGTCCACAGCTCCCTCCTGTTTTCTGAAGTTGCCACAGGGGAGGAGTCTCTTCTCAGTGAGGGTCTCCGGGAGTCCCTCAGCTCCTACATCAGCCTGAATGAGGAGGCTGTCTCTTTGGATGATGCCTAGCCCCAAAAGAGAGGCCGAAAGGGAAACCAAGACTGCACACCTAGAACCCCAATTCAGCCCAGCTACCTGAGCACCCCAGAGGCAAGGCTATGCACTCAGTGAGGGAGGGCTGGGACACAGAGGTGCATCCAGGGTCCCACCTGTACCCTTGCTCTTTCCTTTCTTGGCCCTAAGAAGTCACCTACCTCTTCCCAGTGCCATGATCCCACCTGCGACCTCTAGTCCAAATGCAGAGAAGTTGGGACCAGGGCCAGGGTTCCAAAAAGAGAGTAAGCCTCCTGGGGGTCTGACCTAGTCAGTTCTTGAGTTTGTTTCTAGTACCATCTGGATGCTCTGCCTGCTGAGCCCTGTTCTACATCCCCCTGTTAACCAGGCCCCACTCACAAGGTAGAAACAACCCCTATCTTCTGTGACAAAATCATTTTCGGGAAATTTACAAGTCTCGTTAAGACCACCACCATATCTCAGAAGATAGGACTGTGGCCTAGAAGGGAAAGGAAAACTGAGGAGATGATGTCTTACCATAGCAGCAGATCATAGGTGCTCCAGCCTCTACGTGACCTCCAGAGCAAAGAGAAAGACTTCTGACAGTCTAAGTCCTCAAATGTCCCCCATTGAGGACAACAGCCCCAGCTCTTTTTGTTCTGAGACGGAGTCTTGCTCTGTTGCCCAGGCTGGAGTGCAATGGCGTGATCTCAGTTCACTGCAACCTCCGTCTCCTGGATTCATACGATTCTCCTGCCTCAGCCTCCAGAGTAGCTGGGATTACAGGTGCACACCACCATGCCTGGCTAATTTTTTTCTATATTTAATAGAGATGGGGTTTCACCATGTTGTCCAGGCTGGTTTCAAACTCCTGACCTCAGGTGATCCACCCGCCTCGGCCTCCCAAAGTGCTGGGATTACAGGTGTAAGCGACCGCACCCAGCCTAGCTTTCAGATCTCTATTTCATTTTGTGGCTTACCATTCCCTAGCACACTGGCCTTGCCATCTTGTGGCCAAATACAAAATAACATCTCTTAAGTCTAGCACACTGCAGTGAGGCCAGGCACCTCACTGCTGGGCAAGGGCATCAGAAGGTGCTAAGCCCTCTCTCCACAATGCCAAGACTGAGGTCACAGCCTACACCAAATCCAGCACTTGATTTCCCTGCTGCCCCCATAAAGAGAAAGAGGTCTGCTGGATCTGCTAAGGGAGCATGGAGAGGAAGAAAGAGGGATAGGGGTGGGAGGTACCACCTCGAATGTTCCTACTGGGTTCCCAAGCTACAGGTGGGGTGGGAAAGGCTTTATCAGGTATCATCAACAGGTTCTCAATTAAAGATTTGATTTATTCAAGTATCTGAAAACATTCTACAATGGAAACTGTTATTAGATGCTGCCTGTACTGTGATATGGACACATACAGCCATGCTGTTTCAGAAGACTTTAAATGCCACTGATAGTTTAAAAACTGTACACCTGATGGAGAATCGAGGAAGACAATTTAATGTTTCATCTGAATCCAGAGGTGCATCAAATTAAATGACAGCTCCACTTGGCAAACAGCTGTTACTTGATGGTATCCAAGAAGAAATGGTTGGTGACGGATAAATTCAGAAATGCTTCCCCAAAGGTGGGTGGTTTTTAAAAAGTTTCAGGTCACAACCCTTGCAGAAAGCACTGATGCCCAACACACTGATTCATGGTCCAGGAAACATGGGTCTTCCAAGTTCCAAGGGGCTGGGGTTCCCCAACGATCAAGTTCCTGTGCTGTAATCAAGAGGATCCTTTGGACTGGGTAGGGAGCAGTTGAGAGCTGTACACCATCAGTCATAATGAATGGCAGTGTAAAAGATGATCCAGATGACCTAGTGAGGAGACAAGCACTGTTCATAGGTCACCTGGGTTAACACAGGCCCCGATTCCACAAAACAAAAATGCCAGATGAGAATGTAAACACAGGGCACTCTCCTGGGGCTATCCATTGCACAATCGGCTTGGGGAGTCTACGTTAAAATTTCACTGAAATCACACTGTCAGTCACTAACAGAGCCCAGGACTGCCCACCTGCACTTGCAAAGGAACTCCTGATAAGCTCCTCCCCTACCAAATGGCAACCCCAGGCCCAGGGAATTGACGTACAGAGGTGGAAATGATTCAAGTAAAGCATACTACACTGCTAGCAGGTGCTGCAACTACCAGTGTGAAAATACCATCATAATTTGTCAGCTGCATATCAAAGCAGGGATTCTCAAACCTTGGCTACACATTGTAATCTCCTGGTTCTTTAAAAAACATATAGATGCCCCAGCAATACCACTCAGAAGATTTTATTGGTTTGGATTAGAGTCCGGACATATAAGATTTTTTTTTTTTTTGAATCCTGCTGGGATTCAACAGGTACGCACCACCACTCCTGGCTATTTTTTTTTTCCCCCTGTAGAGATGGGTTTCACCATATTGCCCAGGCTGGTCTCGAACTCCTGGACTCAAGCAGTCTGCCTGCCTCAGCCTCCTATAGTGCTGTAATTACGGGCATGAGCCACCATGCCATGCCATGAGTATAATTTTAAAAAAAACGGGCCGGGTGCGGTGGCTCAAGCCCGTAATCCCAGCACTTTGGGAGGCCGAGATGGGCAGATCACGAGGTCAGGAGATCGAGACCATCCTGGCGAACATGGTGAAACCCCGTCTCTACTACAAAACACAAAAAACTAGCCGGGCGAGGTGGCGGGCACCTGTAGTCCCAGCTACTCGGGAGGCTGAGGCAGGAGAATGGCGTAAACCCGGGAGGTGGAGCTTGCAGTGAGCTGAGATCCGGCCACTGCAGTCCAGCCTGGGAGACAGAGCGAGACTTCGTCTCAAAAAAAACAAAACAAAACAAACAAAAAAATAGCTGGGCGAGGTGGCGAGCGCCTGTAGTCCCAGCTACTCAGGAGGCTGAGGCAGGAGAATGGCGTAAACCCGGGAGGCGGAGCTTGCAGCTAGCTGAGATCCGGCCACTGTACTCCAGCCTGGGCGACAGAGCGAGACTCTGTCTCAAAAAAAAAAAACGGGCTGGGCGCGGTGTCTCACACCTGTAATCCCAGTACTTTGGGAGGCGGAAGCGGGCAGATCACTTGAGGTCAGGAGTTTGAGACCAGCCTGGCCAACATGATGAAATCCCATTTCTACTAAAAATACAAAAACTATCCAGGCACGGTGGCTCACGCCTGTAGTCCCAACTACTGGGGAGACTGAGGTGGGAGGATCACTTGAGCCCAGGAGGCGGAGTCTGCAGTAAGCCAAGATTGTGCCACTGCACTCCAGTCTGGGTGAAAGGGTGAGACCCTATATCAAAAAAATAATAGTATACAGTTCAGAAGTTTTCTGTATGGGCACAGGTATGCAAACATCACCACTGATTTCAAAACATTACTCCAAAAAGAGCCTATTTCCTTTATCAGCTACTCTCCCTCCCCTCCTCCCAGCCACTGGCAAGCACTAATATACTTTTTGCCTCAATGGATTTGCTCACTGGGAGATTTTGCATATAGAATCACATAATATGTGGTCTTTTGTATCTGGATTCTTTCACTTAGCATGTTTCAAGGTTCATCCATGTTATACAGCATGTATCGGTACTTCATTCCTTTTTTTTTTTTTTTTTTTTTTTCTTTTGAGATAGTCTTGCTCTGTCTCCCAGGCTGGAATGCAGTAGCGCAATCTTGGCTCACTGCAAGCTCTGCCTCCCGGGTTCACACCATTCTCCTGTCTCAGCCCCCCAGTAGCTGGGACTACAGGCGCCCACCACCATGCCCGGCTAATTTTTTTTAGTAGAGACAGGGTTTCACCTTGTTAGCCACGATGGTCTTGATCTCCTGACCTTATGATCCGCCCACCTCAGCCTCCCAAAGTGCTGGGATTACAGGTGTGAGCCACCGTGCCCAGCCACTTCATTCCTTTTTAAGACCAAATAACATTCTACTGTATGGATATATATTATCCTATCCATTCATCAAGTGATGGTCATTTGGATTGTTTGTACTTTTTAGCTATTATGAAAAATATTTCCTAGTTTCTTTTTTGAGGTGGAGTTTCCCTCTTGTTGCCCAGGCTGGAATGCGATGGCATGATTTCAACTCGCTGCAACCTCTGCCTCCCAGGTTCAAGCGATTCTCATACCTCAGCCTCCCAAGTAGCTGGGATTACAGGTGCCTGCCACCATGCCCAACTAATTTTTTGTATTTTTAGTAGAGATGGGATTTCACCATGTTGACCAGGCTGATTTTGAACTCCTGACCTCAGGTGATCTGCCTGCCTTGGCCTCCCAAAATGCTGAGATTACAGGCCTGAGCCACCGTGCTCAGCCCTCCTAGTTTCTAATATGTAGCCAGAGTTGAGAATCAGATGTAGAAGCTGATGATGGGCCCTGGATTTACACATTACAGGGGACTGTACAATATTTCATATCACATCTTCTGGGATGTGGCTCAACACAGGCCATGGCCCTGATCCTCAGAAGCCTTTAGAAAAACAGCACCCTGTTCACATAGTGTAACTCAATCAGTGGGGTCCCCTCCTGTAAGTGACACCTCATGAAATGAACAGTACCTGTTGTAAAACTATCAGCTACACATACCATGAACAAGGCAAAAGAGGTCATAAACCCTTCTTTCATGAGCTCCCATGTGCCGCCATATTCTTCCTCATCAATCTGTAGATAATTGCTGAAGTAGAGGTACAGCACTCCTGCATTGATCAGGCAGAATCTAGAGCAAGAGAGAACAAGTACCAAACATAAACTGTAAGATTAGAAGACTCAGAACTTGGGGCCGGGCGTGGTGGCTGATGCCTGTTATCCCAGCACTTTGGGGGGCTGAGGTAGGTGGATCACTTGTGGTCAGGAGTTCGAGAACAGCCTGGCCAACAGGATGAAACCCTGTCTCTACTAAAAATACAAAAACTAGCAGGGCATTGTGGTGGGCACCTGTAATCCCAGCTGTTCAAGAGGCTGAGGTCGGAGAACTGCTTGAACCCAGAGGCGGAGAGGTTGCAGTGAGCCAAAATTATTCCACTGCACTCCAGCCTGGGCAACAGCGAAACTCCATATATAAGTATATAGTGTGTGTGTGTGTGTATTATATAGTTCTCCAAAGCCCCTTGAAGTAAGACAGAATGGCTGCTGAGCTGTCCCAAACAGGACCTGACATGGGCCTCCAGGTAGCTCCAGCTAGGGGGAGGCTATGGGAGAAACACACATGAAGCCGCTGCTTCACAGCCTAGTTGAGCAGGCAACAGCATACCCCTGTACAACTCCCCGTGGGAGACCATTTCTGGTTATTCACTGTCTTGTTACTGCCTCAGGATGCAGATGTGAAGATGACTGTTCCTGCCCTCAGCTCACCGTCAATTATGGGGCTAGGAACAGCAATAGGCTAGGCACGGTGGCTCACGCCTGTAATCCCAGCACTTTGGGAGGCCAAGGTAGGCGGATCACCTGAGGTCAGGAGTTCAGGACCAGCCCAGCCAACATGGTGAAACTGTCTCTACTAAAAATACAAAAAAAAAAAAAAAAAAAAAAAATAGGCTCACACCTATAATCCCAGCACTTTGGGAGGCTGAGGCAGGCAGATCACTTGAGGTCAGAGTCTGAGACCAGCCTGGCCAGCGTGGTGAAACCCCATCTCTACTAAAAATACAAAAATTAGCTGGACATGGTGGTGTGTGCCTGTAATCCCAGCTACTCAGGAGGCTGAGGTGGGAGAATTTCTTGAACCTAGAGGAGGCAAAAGTTGCAGTGAGCTGAGATAACACCACTGCACTTCAGCCTGGGCAACAGAGTGGGACTCTCTGTCTCAATAAATAAATAAATAAATAAGAAATAAATAGAAAAAGAACATAGGGAGTAAGAGATAAGTCTAGAAAATAAACCCTATAAACTAGAGCATCCTCTCCTCCAAATATCCTTTATATGTATAAAACAAAGTAATAAACTTGCGCATCTAAGCGGCATCCTTTGGCTTCAGTGTTCAATAGCCTGTATACCCACCAGCAAATAGTTATTTTCAAATATGCATTTTATGTTAAGTACAGTGGAATCTCTAAGCATTAGCATCAGAACAAAGGACTATTTATAAGCAAAACAGTTACAACATTTGAATACCTACTGTAGAATTACCTAATAAACATATAGTATCTTATTACTTACAGCAATATTACAAGATGGTTTCTTTTTTCTTTTCTTTTTCTTTTCTTTCTTTTTTTTTTTTTTGAGACAGAGTCTCACTCTGTCGTCAGGCTGGAGTGCAGTGGCATGATCGCGGCTCACTGCAACCTCCACCTCCTGGATTCGCGATTCTCCTGCCTCAGCCTCCCAGTAGCTGGGATTACAGGCACCCACCACCACGCTCAGCTAAATTTTTTGAACTTTTAGTAGAGATGGGGTTTCACCATGTTGGTCAGACTGGTCTCGAACCCCTGACCTCAAATGATTTGCCCACCTCAGCCTCCCAAGGTGCTGGGATTACAGGCATGAGCCACCACACCTGGCCAAAGATGGTTTTCTTATTTCTGTTTTATAGTCAGAAAATTAAGAATTAAGTTTTATAACTTGCCATTGAGTGGTTGGGTTAAACCCATTTCTTCCTGAATCTATTTGCCCATTATTTCCCACCTGGACGTATCCAGAGCTGAAATGTAGGGATTGGTTGTCTCAAGGGCGTGGGGTTCAGCCGGCCAGGACGAGATCAAGGACTCACCTTGGAAGGGTCAGGCTCTGGTATAGTTACAGATTTCTGAATCTAGGTTGCAAACACCTCTTGTAATAACTATTTGGTACTTTGTATATACAACATAATCAGCCTAGTGCTGTTACATTCATTCACTGTAGGCAATGGTTCCTTTCCTCTAAAACAGTAAGTTACATTATTTTTTAATAAATAGTGACAATGAAGTTTGGGTTTGATTGTTTTTAATTTGATCTAACTTCAGTTATGGTTTGGATCCTAGGTTGAACCAGTAGAGCTTGATTACTGTTAATATTTGACATAATTTACCTAGAAGGAAAATATTAGAGAGAAATTGACAGTAAAATTCAAGGTAGAAGAACTCCAGAAATAGTGTATGTATACATGTATACTCCTGCCCCAAAGTGTAGAAGTATTAATTTTCTTCAAATTCAGCACCTCCCCTGAGGTAAGAAAAGTAGAATATAGCCGAGTCTGCGGTGGCTGATACCTGTAATCCCAGCACTTTGGGAGGCTGAGGTCAGGAATTCACGAGGTCAGGAGTTCGAGACCAGCCTGGCCAATATAGTGAAACCCCGCCTCTACTAAAAGCACAAAAATTAGCCAGGCATGGCGTGGTGTGCATCTGTAATCCCAGCTACTCAGGAGGCTGAGGAAGGAGAATTGCTTGAACCCGGAAGGCAGATGCTGCAGTGAGCCGAGATCCTGCCACTGCACTCCACCTGGGCAACAGAGCGAGACTCTGTCTCAACGGAAAAAAGGAATAAAAGAGAAAAGAAAATTAGAATATAATAGATTACATACTTGTTGCAAAATAAATGAGAAAACACCAAAAAGTAAATAAATAAAATCACTATTATTTCACCAGTGTTAATGTTGGTAATGGCATATGTCATTTGATTTTTTTCCATACATATATGTAATTGTAGATATGAATTGAGTTTTGAAATTCTCTATGAATCACTTTGTAATATTAAGGCTTAAAAATAGTCTGGCAAAAATTCTTGATACTTTAGGTAAAAGCTTTAAAATAGTAACATGTTCTGGCCTTGTGAAATGGAACTTTTAGTTCAGTTCTGATACAAATAGAAAGTCTGGGTGCTGTGGCTCATGCCTGTAATCCCAGAGCTTTGGGAGGCTGATGCAGGAGAATCGCTCGAGCCCAGGAGTTGAGACCAGCCTGAGCAACATAAAGGAGACCCCCTTCTCTACAAGAATTAAAAAATAAAAATTAGCTAGGCATGATGTCATGCGCCTGTAGTGCCAGCACTTTGGGAGGCTGAGGCAAGTGGATTGCTTGAGCCCAGTTGTTTGACACCAGCCTAGGCAACATAGTGAGACCCCAGTCTTTATATATATGTAATATATATATATTTAGAGATGGAATATTACATATATATGTTAGGCGAGGTCTCACTATGTTCGTATATATATATATGTGTGTGGTATATATACCCCCATTTGTAATAATAAATATATATATATGTATATATATGTATGTGTAGAGTATAATGCCCCCGTATATATATGTGTATGTGTGGGTATAGTGCCCCCATTTGTTGCATGTTTATTACTACAATATCAACTCTCACTGGAAAAAACTACAAAGAGTCCTTGAGAACAAGTGTCCTGAGTATTTTTTATGTTCAGTCAATCTTTGCTATCCATATTTTCCGCATCCCCGGATTCAACCAACTGTACATTGAAAATACTCCGGGAAAAAGAAAATAGAAAATAACAATACAACAGTTAAAAACAATACAAATAAAAAATACTGTATGACAACTATTTGCATAAGATTTACACTGTATTAGATTATTATAAGTAGCCTAGAGATTTAAAGTATACAGGAGGATGTATATAGGTTACACGCAAACACTACCTCATTTTATTTAAGAACATTGAGTATGCATAGGTTTTGATATCTGCAGGGTCCTGGAATAAATCCCCCACAGATACCATGAGATATCTGTAGTTTTGCTTAAGTGATGAGATGAAACAAGGTAATACTATAACATCCTACCCATTATGGAGCAAAGGATAGGCTATATTGGGTATACAAAAAAGATAAGGGTCAATGAAAAAAAAATGTATGGGCCTCTATTCTCCCTCATCTCACAGAAAGGGACACTATTCCCGAGAATAGCTACTGCACGTGCAGTAGGTTTGCATTTTAAGAGAGGAACACTGTTCACCTCATTTCTGCCACTCTATCTTCTTACAGTACAAGTGTGAAAGTGTACATATAAATGAGAAGAGAAAAATTTGGAATTTACTCAAGAAAGTGTCTGAATTTACAGAATGTGATAGTTTTCAATATGTTCACTAATTGTCATTCCACTTTTTTTTTCCTTCAAGTGTTATTTTAACTCAGGGGTACATGTGCAGGATGTGCAGGTTTGTTACATAGGTAAACGTGTGCCATGGTGGTTTGTAACACAGTTCATCCTCATCCTGTTACCTGGGTGTTAAGCCCAGCCTCTGTTAGCTATTCTTCCTGATGTTCTCCCTCCCCCAACCTCCCAACAGGGAGTGTGTGTTTTTCCCCCCATGTGTCTATGTGTTCTCATAATTCAGCTCACACTTATAAGTGAGAACATGCAGTGTTTCTGCATCAGTTTGCTGATTCTATCCATGTCCCTGCAAAGGACATAACCTCATTCCTTTCTATGGCTGCATAGTGTTCCATGGTGTATATGTACTACATTTTCTTTATTCAGCCTATCATCAATGGGCATTTAGGTTGATTCCAAGTCTTTGCTACTGTGGCTATGTCACTCCCCTCTCCCCCCGCCTTTTTTTTTTGAGATGGAGTCTCACTCTGCCACCCAGGCTGGAGTGCAAGTGGCTGATCTCGGCTCACTTCAAGCTCCACCTCCCGGGTACATGCCATTCTCCTGCCTCAGCCTCCCGAGTAACTGCGACTACAGGCAACCCCCCCCCCCCCACCATGCCCAGCTAATTTTTTAAATTTTTAGTAGAGACAGGGTTTCGCCGTAATAGCCAGGATAGTCTCGATCTCCTGACCTCGTGATCTGCCCAAAGTGCTGGGATTATAAGCATGAGCCACCATGCCCGGCTGTCACTCTGCTTTTTAAAATGTGAAACCTAATG